TAAGTCCAGAATCCCAAAACAGAAGCAATGAGGAAGATCACAGAACTATAAACTTTAAAGAATTACTCAAAAGAAAAATGAATTTCCTCAGTAAGAAATGTATTTCCTTTCCTGAGCTGTTCAAGCTGAGGCTGTCCAGCCATTTGCCAGAGGGTCTGAGATGGGAGGCTTGACTGGCAGCCCTCCAGGGGCCCACGCTCTCAGTGAACCTGTGACTTTAGCCTCTTTCCTAAATGTATTTGCTGTCTTATTGGATAACAGGATGCTGAACAAAACAGCATACAGACTGTATGGGTGAACTGCTTATGGGGCACACATAGCACAAAAAGAAAAGAGGGTCGAGTTGGAAACCATGAGAAATCCCATTGTTTAAGGATAATGGAGAATGAAGAACTGGCAGGGAAAGCAAAGTTAAAAAGAAACATCAAGAGGTGAAATAACAAGACCAACGGAAGAGAGGGTTTCCAAAAATGCCACTGCAAATTAAAGTATTCTAAGAATTTTAAAGTGGCCATTAGCTAATGGGATGAGAAGATTATCAGTGACCTGGGTTTGGGACGTTTCAGCAAGGGTTAAGGATACAGGATTCATGCTCATGACATGCCTCAAATTTAAAACAAGGTAGTATCTTCACATGGGATTATATAGAGGAACTCTATCATTAGGATTATGTTAAAAGCTTTAGTAAGTATAAGCATTTAAATTAAACTACAATTGTTGTAAGTCTTTTCAGCACTTATTATCTTTTAATATAAACAAAGCAAAAAAAAAATCAAAGAAAGAAAGAAAGAAAGGACCCCAGGATTCTGACAGCCTCTGTGATGCCTAAGGTTTCAGTAGAGTGGTATGAGCTATAATTTCTGTTAAAAAAAAAAAGTTCTCATTCTGTAAGTTTTTTTGCAAAATGACAGCATTCAAGAAAACTTAAATGCATGGGGTAATATGCATAAATGAAAGAAGCCAATCTGAAAAGGCTACATAATGTATGATTTCAACTATATGATATTCTGAAAAAGGTAAAACTATGTAGAGAAGAAAAAGAGCAGTAATTGTCAGGGGTTGGGAAGACGAAGGGATGAAAAGGGGAGCACAGAGGATTTTTACGGCAGTGAAACCATTCTATGTGATACCATAATGGTGGGTCCATGTTTTTATATATTTGTCCAGATCCACAGAATGCACACCACCAGAAGCAAACTCTAACGTACACTATAGACTTGGGGTGACACTGATGTGTCCATTCCAGTTCATCAACTGTAACAAAGGTACAACTCTGGTTACACCTGTTTGTCTGTGGTCAACAACCAGAATGCGGACAGCCAGCTATGAGGCACCACACCCCTGCCCTCAGAGAAGCTGATAAACCTGCAAAGGCTCCTGCAATGCTAGGCCCTTACTGAATCAGGGTACTGGAATGCCCACCAGACTTCACTCTCTGCACACACACACACAGAGCTTCTAATCCGATTTTCAGGCCCATTCCTTAATACGGACAAAGGGCCAAAGATCACCAGACATTTGAGAAGAACTTCCAATATAAAAGAGAGAGACCAAAACAAATAGAAGAAGGAACCTAGAATAAATAGACACACAGAAAATGGGAAAAAAGCATTACAGAGAAGAATGGAGGAAGATCCATATTCATGAAAAAAATATTAGAAGCTGTTTCTTCACAACTCAAAAAAATTCATAGAATAAGAACAATATTTTAGAGATGAAAAATATAAGAACAGAAATTAAAAGCTTCATAGAAAGACTGAAAGATATAAGTTGAGGAAGTACCAGAAAGTAGAAGAAAAAGACAAAAAGAAAATAGAAGTTAGGAAAGAATGAAAGGAAAAATGGAAAATGTATCCATGAAATAATATAAGAAAAATTTCTGAGACATAAAAGACACCATTGCCCTGATTGAAGGGGCCCTCCCGGTAACCAGCACAGACACACACGAGGTGTCCATTTACTCTCACATGCCCTTCTCCTTGGGAAATCACTAGAAGATGAGCATAGGAGGGAATAAACCCAGAAACTCCCTGCGATGAAGGAACAACCTCAAAAGAGGATGTCACAGCATGCAAAAACACAGTACCAGACATGGAAGACAAGCAAAGGGACTTTCTTATGGTGCAGGGAGTTGCATGTGATGGCTACGCGGCAGGCCTTGATAGCACACTGTCCAGACCCCAGGAGAAGGGAAGAGAGGCCTCCAAGGGGTGTAAGGAAGGGCTTCCTGATGCATCTGAATGAGGTCTACCATCGGTCAGAGAATTAGGAAATGAAATGATGAAAAATAAATAAAAACTGAATAAACAAAAAATGATTAGACATTAACTCCAGGGCAAGAACCCGCATTGTTCAATAAAGGAAACAAAATACAGTTTCAGTTAGAAAAATATAGTTGCGGTTAACATCACCATAATAAAAACATGAGTGCTAATTTAAATAAAATTGTAATTTAAGTATACAGGAGCAGTAGGGGGACAAAACCATGATGTGGGGGGGCAGTCAGAGAAGGAGCCTCATCTTGCCGATTAGGGAGTTCACTGATATCTTAAATTATCAAAGCAAGACAATATTAACATGTTTTATAAAGAAACAAAGAGGATGCCATAGGGGAGGGGGCTAGAGGGAGGGGCAAAATAAGATGAAGGGGATAAAGAGATACAAACTTCCAATTATTAAAAAATTAAGTCATGGTGATGAAAGTACAACATAGGAAATTCAGTCTAATATCACAGTTATCTTTGTGTGGTGACAGATGGTAGCTATACTTACGATGGTGAGCATTTCATGTGTGTAACTGTCAAATCACTACACTGAATGCCTGAAACCAATATAAAATTGTGTATCAACTATACTGCAGTTTAAACAAAAGGAAAGAAAGAAAAATGAAGGTGACAGCAGGATTAACAGCTAAGAGTTCAAAGTGGTTGTCATAAGGGCAAAAAGTTTTAGGTGGGGAGGGAGTAGGTATAACCACAGGCAAAGAGGAATTAGGCAGTAGTCAACTATGTAAAGTATATTTATATTCTATTTCGATAAAGATAAGACTGGAATTCAATAAACGAATGGCAGGGCATCCTGGGCTTGCAAACTATCGCTTTGAGAAACAAATATCCTACAAAGAAAATAGTAATAAACCTGGGTCCAGACATGACAGTTTTTGTTACCTTTTTTTAAGTTTGGAGAGATACTGAAAGGAAAGAAACATGAAGAAGAAATTATCTTAGTGGCAGAAGGGACATAGAGCATCTCAAGGAGCAAGACCTCTGAGGAGGCAGAAGGATGGGGTTGGAAGCAAGTGTATCTGAATTAGGCCTAGACAGCAATACAGACAGCTCTTCTCCGTGGTCAGGGCTAGGGATGGAGAACATAAGGACAGCAAAAGCTAACACAACTGGTGGTTAGGGATTCTAAACATTGCTTAACAGTCTCCATTTGAGGTGAAGTAAGGGGTCAAGGAGAGTTGTGAGTGTTTGAGAAGTGACCAGAAAAAAAAAACATTAAATGCAATTTGATCAAGTAAATTTGCCCCTAGAGCAGGAATGGACACACACAGTCTTAATTGACAGTATTTGAACTCAGTCATTCCTCTGAGCTCTCATAATACTTTATAACATTTACCATACCATATTAACACTAATACTTAAAAGGACTGTGTTTTCACTAAACTGTGAATTGTCAAGAAGAGTCTTATCGATTGTATACAACCAACATGCACTCGCCATGATGTTTAACATGAAGTGTTCATTAAAATGTTCATTTAACAAAATGTTTAAACATCTTTTATAGATACATAAATGTTTATTTCCAGAAGTACAAAGAATGTCAACAATACCAATACACATATATGAACTTAAAAAGTTTTTATATGCCAGGATAGTCAGCATTCAATACTTTTACAGTGTATTTTAAAAATAACAATGTCCCATCAAAGATAACTCCCCAGAAAAATTTGATTTAAGTTTAAATTGATATCTGAAACTGTCTCTTTGAATATACATCTTAACACCTAGAATCTGTTTTGAGTGATGCCCATACTTTGACTGAACTCAGAACAGTAGGAAAATTACAAGACTCTATGGATGCTAAACTAAAGTTCAAGAATATTCACACTGAATTTAAAAATCCATAGATGGACATCAATACCTGCCCTGCCTAATATTAAATCCAAGAGTTTATGGTTTGAAATACTAAATTTACCAATTTGGAATTAATTTGAGTTCAGTTGGTCTTGGTTTATTAAATACCTCCTAGTATTTCAACATACTCTAATTTTACATTCTTCCCAAGAAGGAAATACAGTTATTATTCACTATGAAAATCATGGTATTAATGCTAACTTTAAAAAATTATTTCCCCTCCACTACATTTAGCTAAGCTTTGGTACTTATCCAACACCTTTTCCACAAAACACTTCAGATCACTTCCAAATAGGTTCAGAGGAGCGTAGAGGACTTTAAAAATACATAAGTGAAAGCAAGAATTTTGTTTGCCTTTTAAATCTTTTGCTGAGTTTAGAGGGTTTTGATCACTATTAGTTAAAAGTTGTGTCATATTGATATACTGAAGAAAATTATTTTGAAAAGTCTATCATGAATGTCAAATTATGTCCATAAATCCTAATCTTTAGTTTCACACCACAGTAAAATTTATAATTACCTAAATGATTTCACCATATCAACAATTTACGCACAATACAGACTGGTACACCTGCATTTACCTTTCCTCAAATTCCATAAAGTATAAGCTGACCAGGTATGGTTGTTCCAGTAACATCATACAACATAAAACAACCAAACTGCCATCTCATAATCTCTTCCTTTTAGCCTCCCCAGAATGTTTCAGAAAGTAATTCCAAACAACGTATTCTATAACATAGAAAGGTATCCTGACAATAAAGGTTAGTTCTACCTTTAAGGTCATATAAAATAAATGAGAGTTCAACAGCGCTGGGATGACTTCTAGTTTACAAGAACACAAAGAAGCATCTTCTAAAATACCTGATTTTGACTTCAGGATAACCTGAATGGTATGCCCGTCGTTGGTGACTTCACAGTCTCGGCAGACCACGTAATTTGGGGAGAGGCGTACATCCAGCAGTGAGGGGTCATATCTAGCTTCTCTTGAGTTTAAGTTAATGGGAGACTGGTATTCCCCATTAGCATCAGGAAACACCAAGCCCCACTCAACGCCTAGGGACAAAATGAAGCAAATGCAGAACAGGTTAAAAAATAATAATAATAAGTTACAGTAAAATGTAACATGTAAAAAAACTAATTTCAACCCTGTTCATGATGCTTGACATTAAGAAGGTTATGACTACTGTTTCTTCACAGATGAAGTACGGCAAATGCATGTGAATTTTTGCATTTGTATTTTGCATCATCTAATATTATCAAATACCACATACAAAATTCTGGACTAACAAAATATTCTATCAGTATTTGTCCACACAGACCTAATAGTTTATGACTAAAAAATTTTGCTCATCTGTGATTAGAAAACAAAATAATACCACAAAAAACTGTCTCTGCTCATTGGTTCAATTATGTGCAGTATCTGGGAAATCTCCGTAACTCTCAACGTGCTTGGTGAGAGCCAAAAACCATAAATCTGCTAGTGAATAAATGCCTCTTATCAGAAATGTAAGTACAGTATTTTGAGGTGTGCATATGTGCATACAAATAGCTATATGTTCATACATTTATATTCTTTCCATATTTTTATAATTAAACTTATAAATTCTATATTTGTTTCCACTTACGTAGTCAACAACAGCCCTACATCCTCAGGGATAACTGTAGGAAACTAAACTTTTCCAAAAGTCAACCCCCATCTAGCCAAGCCACTAATTCGGCTTGAAATTGAGGACTTGAATGTTGAGCATTGCTAGTATTCTTCACGAAAAGAGCAGTGGCAGAAATACTTTCTCCCTCTGGGTCTTCACAGCCAGCAAGAACCTATTCGTTTGCCAACACTGTTCCCGAGGAGATGAGTCAAGTGTAACGCCGCTCTTGGCTCCTCCAGGGGCCGACTGCTAAGAGCCGCAGCTTTAAAGCTCGCGCCGCGGACGGCGGCAGGTGCCAACCGCGGCGCTGCAGGAAGGCCAGGCTCGCCCCTGCGAACGCCTGCGGCCCCAGAGCGGGCCAGAGCCGCGGGAAAGCCCGCGGACCCACGTGGGAGAGAGGGGTGCGCAGGGGACCACGTGGGAAGGGGGCGCGCGCTGTTCCGCCGCGCCGCGCAGCCCCAGGGCGCCGGACCCCGCACGCGCGCCGGTTACCTTCTTCGTAGCCCCACTCCACGCCCTCCTCCTCCTCATCATCATCCTCCTCCTTCTCGGGGAAGGCGACGGCATCCTCGATGAAGCTCAGGTCAGCCATGGGAAGGCGCGGGTCCGCTCGGCGCTCTCGCCGGCTGCGCCTGCACCTCCGCCGGTGGGCAGGGGCGAAGCGCCCCGCAGAGGGAGCGGGAGCGCGCGGCGGTCGGCAGTGCGGGCGGGAGCGCGCGGGCGGGCCGGGCCGGCCTGAAGTCTGGGGCTGCCCCGCTAGGTGCGAGCGCGCGAGGAGCCGCGGCTCCGGGAGCCCCGGCAAGCGACTTATAAACCCGGCGGGGCGTGTCTGGCACGGGAGGATCCGCCCCCTTCGCTCTGCGGCCCCCGCGTCGGGGTGAGGGCGAGGATGAGGGTGGGGGGTGGACAGCAGGAGAAAGTCTGGGGCCACCGGGCCGAAACGATACCCCCTGGCCCTAACCGCTGGGCGGCTGGGCGGCTGGGCGGCTGGGCATCGGTCTCCACCCGCGGCTCTCGCTCGGCCTCCCGCGCTCACCTCCCACAACCCGCCAGGCACCCAGCCTCCGCTCTGGGGACCTTTGTGCGCAGGGCCTAGACTTCCTTACCCTTTTCAATTTGCATCTTTACTGCAGGTTATTCCGAAAGGGAAGAAAGGGAATCGAGAAGCGGAGAGAGGAGTTGCTTTGGATAGGAGAAAACGGAGGGCCGGGAGACCCCAAAACAAAATTAAAAGTTTACCACTCTTAATCTGTATTATTTAGTATTTACTTTTTAATTCGTCCTTAAAGCACAGTGGAAACGAGTACGGAAATTTTTGCAGGACACTTGTAGCTACTAAAAACATTTAAGAAAAAAATAGTTTAATCTAGAGAAGTAGGTATCATTTGGGGAAATTTTTCCGTGAAAAATTATGACTTTGAAGGAAGGAGCAGGGAATGAAGATGAGGAAAGGTGTTCAGATTGAGTTTCAGAGTCTGGGGTGCTGCCCCAGGAGCTGTGTACACAGCTCCCAAACGCCGAACGAACTCGTGTAAATAATGGAGTGCACACATTGCGAAACAAACAGGAACTTTCCTGATCCAGAGAGGTCGCATTGTTACCTCTTAACAAGTTTCCCAATGACTTAATGACTTTGACCCTGTTCCAGTGCCTTTCAAAAGCTGGAGCCAATAACCCCAGAGTAGGTTTACTCCACATATTCAGGTGTAATAAACTCAGCTTTGGACCTTAAGTAAAGTTTGTTTTTATATGGTCTATGCACGCACCAAAATGTCTGCTAGTGGTGTGAATAGCCAGCTCCTAAATAATACCATCCTTACGTGATGTTTAATTCCTCATCTAAGGTTGGAGATGATCATTTGGGGGATTTTTAGTTCTGTGGCCCTGGCCTTCACTGCTTGCTCATCTCTCCATTCTTTAAAAAAAGCCACTTCACAGGTATTAGAAATTACTCTGGAAAGTGGATTGGGACCAAAGGAAAGGGGGGAAAGTCAGTTCTCACACTTTCAAGAACTTTTAGCAAAATAGGTGAAAACTGTTGGTCAACTTTAGCTCTGAGGATTTCAGGCATTCTTATAATTTCTCTGTTCTTTTAATATACCCTTCCAAGGACTGAGCTAACTGCGTCCTTTAGGGGACTCTCTCTCCTCCACAGTTTATTAAGTCTGGATTGACAGAAGTGGAAGTCTCCCCTAAAGCTACAGCCTTTAAAAATAATAAGCACTGCCCAAAATATCAACCTTTGGAAAGGTTAATTTTCAGTTCTTCTGAAAGGAACATTTCCTTTCTTTTTCCATTTTTGAAAACTTTTTCACAACCTTGAAAGTTTCATTAAAGTTTCTTTTCAGAAGTAGCTTTATACATTAATCATGATGCAGCTAAAGCAACCTGCGGAAGACCCCAATAATGAAATCATTTTGCCACTCTGAGCTCAGCAATGTCCATTGTACTCTGCCCCAAACGTATAGGTGCTAAACTGTAACCATGGTGCAACCACCAATTTCATTGAAAGTGTGGCATGAATTGTAGAGGTATTTGTTTACCAAACCAGAGAACAGCTAAACCACCATGGAAAAAAAAAAAAAAAACAGACCTGTTTTCTATGAGGAAATGGTGTGCCATATTTATAGCAGACAGGCTGAAAGACTGATTTGTTACTATGGAATTTTGCAGCTAATAGGCAATTTGGCATATAGCCAACAACATATTACCATTCATAAAATCCAGTTGACTACTAAACAGATGTTTACCCTATTTGTCCTTTCTGAATTTTTCAATATTATGTGTCTAACTCCTGAAATCCTAGGATACAATGCCCAGCAACATATGAGCCATTCCACTGTACATCCAGATATTCAATTAATAACCTTAATTGCTTTGAGACTGTGTGCATTAGACTTATGCTAATTACCACCACCTTAAGACCTGCTCTTCTCAGAAACCTGTACTATATTATCACTAAAGATGGAATTTCTATTTCTAGTTATTATAAGGTATCTGTCACCATAAAACCTAAACACACAGACCAAAGATATAGGGCAATTCTTTGATTTACAAAATAGAACAAGCACACCTAAACCTAATATCAGAGAATCTAAAAATACTCATGCTCTATATTATGAACATAAGTACTCCACATATTCCTCTATATAATTTTTAAAACACTTCAACCTAAGATTGTATTAAGATTCCTTAAATTATTTTACTGTTCACTTTTAGCATTTGCATAACTGAGATCAAACTACATTAGTAGAACAGTTTCTTAAAACAAAGACCTATATAACTAATTACCCTTAAAAATAAAAATTGAAATACCTAACAGGGACAAACTAATCTAGATGTCACAGGAAGAAAGAGATGCTGAGATTGCTTCACCACACCCTGTACTTAACAGCCCTGTCCTCCCAATCTTTCTTCACCTTTTATCTACCTTACCAAGGCTTTCTTCTTGTATTGGTGAGCTGGGGCCCTAGAGTAGTTCTTAACAACTACCTTCTTCTTGTGTCCATCTTATGTTCTGGGAACACCTCAGGAATAATGCTAACATGTGTATGCCAAATGGCTTCTAACCAGATTATAAATTTCTGAATTTCAACACCAGAGAACTGTGTTCCTTCATGTGTACTGTTCTGCACTGGACACTATGGGAGGACCCAGAATGAATAAAGCACTGTGTTTGAAGTACATATTTTACCATCTCCTCCAACAGATAGCAAGCTCCCCAAGACCAAGCAGTCATCTTACTCCTTTTTTGTACCCCCCCCCATGATAGGCACTTAAGAATTGGTTTCCCTGTGCTACCAGCCACACAGTGGCCCAATTAGCCTTTATAAATACATTAGTGCAATAAAAGTTAAGATTACAAAGGTGAAAGTTTTCAGGGTACAGTGGAAAGCAAAGATTGAAGTGACTGAGTTCACTTGGTGGCAGCTGTGTCAATAGGGGCTTCATAAAGGAAGTGACACATGAACTGGGTCTTGAAAGATAAATAAGTGATCTTTTGCCCACAGAAAAGAGGTGGAAAGAAAAAAGAACATACCAGTTAAAAGGGAAAACAAACTCAAGTTCAGAAGCCAACATAGCTTAAGCTTTTTGATCAAGTTTATTATCTTTTAACGGTGTTAGTAAGTTTTTTATGGTGTTATAAAAGTGCAAAATGACACATTTAAATAGCATGTCTATGTTTTAATAATTTCATTTAAAAAGAGAGTCTCAAAGTAATATCATGACATGAAATATAATGCACAGCAGATGATACGCTTGAATTACATAGTACTGACAGAACAATATTGAAAATACATGAAGCCCCAGTGAAATAAGCCTGGCAGAGAAGGACAAGCACCAATTTTTGGAGTATAACAACAAAGCAAAAACTGAAGGAACAAAACAGAAGCAGACTCACAGACACCAAGAAGGGACTGGCAGTTACCAAAGGGAAAGTGGGTGGGGAGGGCAGGAGGGAAAGGAGGGAGGAGATTAAGGGGTATTATGATTAGCACACATAATGTTGGGGGGTCATGGGGAAGGCAGTATTACACACAGAAGACAAGTAGTGACTCTATAGCATCTTACTACGCTGATGGAAAGTGACTGTAATGGGGTATGTGGGGGGGGCTTGATAAACTTGATAATAGGGGGGAATGTAGTAACCACAATGTTGCTCATGTGAAACCTTCATAAGATTCTATATCAATGATGCCTTCATTTAAAAAAATTTATTTGATAGCAAAAAAAAAATAGCTTTTCCTACTGTGGGTGAGATCCAAGGAACATAGAAAGCCTTGAAAGGAAAGCCAGAGGCCAGAAAGGGTGTTACAAAATGATAGCCTTAACTGTGACCTGTCAAAGTTCAAGCTAGTCTAAATTATTCTGTAATTTGGATCTGTGAGAATTGCTTGCATTTTCAAAATATGAATGTTGTGTATGTCTCACAGGCCAAACATTTTAATAAATGAAAGGTCAGTTTCAAAACAAGAAAAAATACATGGAGCCCTTTTCAACAATCAGAGAAGATGCAATGGCCAAGATAGAAGAGCCTCTTGGCCACACCTATAGTTCAGTTCCCACAACAATGGAGACACCGCAGTCTGCTTTACAACATGCTGTTGGCTCTAGGAGATGCAAGTGTGCCCCTTATGCAAGATGACAAACCAATCACAGGAAAAGAATTTGAGCACTGTACTTGTCTCCAAAGTTGGCACCATAATTCTTGCCCACCTCTAGGCGTATGCTGCTCTTCCCTTTGAGGGCGGAAGCTGTTTCCTTTTCCTTTGTATCAGGACTGGCTTTGTGACTTACCTTGTCTAATAGACTGTGGTCACTATACAGTGACCCTGTGCAGTTTGGGGCTCAGTCTTTAAGAGGGCTAGCCAATTCCTCTTTCACTCTTGGAAACCAATTGTCATGTAAGAAACCCCACTACCTGACCCCACCGTGCTGTGAGGAAGCCCAAGCCAGCTGCATGATGACTCATGGAGGAGCACGGAGGCACAGGTATATGAGTAAAGCCCTCTCAGATCTTCCAGCCCAGCTTGGCTACCAGCTGACAGCAGCCAAGTCAGCGACCCCAGCCAACAACATGTGGAGCAGAAAATTGCTCATATGAGTCCTACCTGAATTTCTGCATCACAGAATTGAGAAATCACAAATCATTGTTTTAATCCACTAAACTATGGAGTGATAACTGAAACCAGTACTGTGTACCAGATACTTTGCGATACACTTCCCATAGATTATTTCCTTTAATTGTCATAAGAGTTTCAGTAACATTCCATTTTCCTATGAG